TTCCGTGACTCCATATCTTATCAGCCGATTTGAAAGGTTTGTCAGCCGGTAAAGCTGCTTCATTTATGACCAAAGCACAGTTTTCACAGAGGGAAGTTGTTTGCAAATTGTCAGTGTTGGCAGATGGGTCCTTCTGGGGAGATCTGGAGCTTCTGAGTATAATCACATAACCTATCACCCGTGACTGTGTTCCAGTCTGCAAACTGCGACGCTCATTTGTGAAGCTTGAGAAGACAGTTCAGCTCGCCGGTGTAGAGTCCAAGTGCTATTCCACAGAGCCAGTGCTGCGCTGTATGAAAGGATGCTCTGCCACCAAGACTACTCCAGTCAGTGTTGGCTTCCACTGTCTCCCTGCTGGTAAGTCAACAGAAATCCTACTGAATAGGAGCTGAACAAAAGTATAAATAGATTGTGACTTGAGTCAGTTATTCTACTTCAAAAATATAAATAATCTAACATACCCACAGGTAGGGATGGACTTACTGCCTTATTGACTTTTTTATTAATATGTAAACATTCCTTCAGCAAGAGAGATTATTTTCTATTGTAAATTTAAAATCTAAATTACAGCTTAAAATCTAAACTAAACTCCCCTCCATGATGCTTGAAGCTCAGAAGATAAGGGCAGGATAACAGCACAGTCAACATTGTGATTCAGCTGAAAAACTGTGAGGACTGAGCCACATATGACCATGGGCAGCACCCTGAAACAGGGATACTTGCCTTGTATTTTTTATATATCACTGCCTTTGGATGTGATCCTGTTTCACTGAGCTGATTTAGGCACTAAAAGGGCAGATGTGGACAGGATCCTCGTACACAGGTGCAGTGATATAGGAGGACATAGTTTTTATTGTATATCATAGTTCATAAGAGATTAGATAAAGTAGATATAGATTATATAGATCATAGAATTATGTCTGTTTTTTTCTTAAAGACCCTAATACCCTTTCCTAAATGTATCATTAGAAAATTCTACATAGAAGTAGTAGCTTTCAAGGTAGAATTCTCTTATTGATGAACATCTCTGTGTGACTTCAACAAATACAAATACATAAGTCAGTGAGGAGCAGCCAAGCCTGCTGTAATAAATGATTAGTGCATGGTAAATGTGCATGGTACCTTGCAGAACTACTTCTGCTGTGTACTGTTTGCTTTTCATTTCTTGTTCCCTATCAGATTCAGCTACCAGCCTGACAGACAAACAGACGAAGTTTGACCAGAAGTCAGAGGATATGCAGGACACTGTTGATGCACACATAGCATGTTCTTGCGAGGACGAAGACTGCAGTGCGTGAAGCTGTACATCGCAGCATGGGAAAAACCAGAAACACTTTCATGTTTTTATTATATGGTGTAAAAAGCCTCAGCTAAAGGAATAATAGAGACACTAAATTGTTTGAGGATGTGTGGAATCTTCTCAAGTAATTTAAAGTATTAAACTTAATTATTGTAGAAACTGTTATGATTGCCCATAAATATCTGATTTCATAATAAATCCATGCATGGAAAAAATTATGAAGGCTTCCTTATTTCACTGGTCATGGAAAGAGGAGGTCTGCATAGGTTCTTCTCACCCCACATTTTGTAGACTTCTTTAGTTTGTGACTGTCTTCTGTGTATGAGGCACATGTGTGTGTCAGGCCCCACTGAGAATCCGGGTTGTGTAGCTGTGGTACCAGGCTTCTGCTTGTTCCCCCAGTGCTTTTTTGCCTGGTGCTGGGATCCTGTGCATTCGGAGCAGGAACCGATCACCTCTGTGTGAGGCACTCCCTGCAGCAGCCGTGCAGCCGCGATGCTTTGCAATAGCTACACGGTGGCCAGTGCTGCTGCAGGGAGCAGCAGGGTCAGGGAATAAAGCCTGAATGTCATGCCCCTGGGCAAGGCTGGTCTGTGGGAGCCACAATCAAGTTATGTTTCTGGTGCAGAAGCTAGGGTGAATCAGGAGTCTTTGACCATGACAGGGTGGTGTTACCCAAGCACACCTCCTGCCAAAGAGTCTGAAGCAGAGTCAGACCTCTGCACTTTGGGTGAGATGCCCCAGCCACTGTGCCCAGCATGAGTCCTCGCTGAAGCCACCATCAGCAGGTGGGCTCTGCCTGCTGCCCACCTGCCACAGGTCTGTGTGGGCATGGTCAGGAACATGCTCATCTGCCCTGAGCACTGGAGCCCAAAGGATTCCAGCAGATCTGGAAGATGTTTTCTACTTGCCCCTAAGGCTGTGCTTGCAGGCTGAATATGCACACTGGGTGAATGTGTTTTTGGAAACACTTGAGAACATTCTGTAAAAATTGTGGGGTTTTTGCTTTCTCTGGCAGCTTTGGTACATTCAATGGATGCGCATATATAAGTTTTATTGTTTGGATATGAGTTTTATAGTTTAGAAAGGTAAAGTTCTTAGTACCAAAAGAAGCATGTGTGAAAGGTCTAACTATACAGTTCTGCAGTTTAAATGCTGCCATGGTAACCTGTTCTGCAAAGTGCTGGGGAGCAGGCAGCAGACAGGCTTTGGGCCCTATCCAGCAGCAGCAGTAAGTGATGAGCTGGTGGTTTTGCTGCTTGCCTGGAAGTCACATGGAGCAGCGACAGGAAGCACAGACTTTTCAGGTAACCTGGGGCTGAATTCAGTAAAATTCAGGGGTTATGTGGTCCCCAGAGCTGGGCTCCATGGGGGGCTGTGGCATGAGCTCCCAGCTCTAGTGGGGGCAGCCACAGGACTCCTCTCTTTCCAACATGTCAAGGCTGGAGCACAGTTTTGGGGGGATTGTCATCTTCCAGCCTCTGCATTCAGGTGTGATGAGCCCAGCAGGAGACCCACGGATGAGCATTGCCCAACCACAGTGGCAGCCTGCAGGGGGATCTGGGCTATAGGTATCCACCTCAAGAGGGGCTGTGGGGAGCCCATAACCAGCCTTTGCCCCTTTCCCCCACTGCCACTGTGGAGGGAGCTGAGTGCAGCTCTAGGGAAATGCTGTCCAGGGCAGGTCCTGGGCACAGCCAAATTGTTTGTCACCCTCACAATTTTCTGAGTTTTTGGGTTTTTTGCCTCTCTCTTTTCAATTCCTGTTATATCCTCCTGAGAAATCCTAGCACGAAAGGGCTGTAAATGCACGGGGGCACAGGCTGGGAGTTGAAATTGTTCTTGAGGCACTGAAAAAATGACCTAGAAAATGAGAGGGTTCTGTTTTATGAAGAAATCCCTAAAGGCAAAGCCCTTGGCCATGGGTTAACCTGCCCTTGAAGCAGAAGCACAGATGATCCTGCCCTGTGGCAGCAGCATGGCCAGGGTGACCAGGAATGTAGCATCTGCTGCCCAAAGCAATGGATGGTGTGGGATGGGAGTAAGATTCTGCAGCCCCAAGCTGCAGTGCTGAGGATTTTGGGGAAACCCTGTTCTTGCATCTGGGCAGAGCCTGTACAGCCCCCAGCAAGAACTTATTTTGGGGAGTGTTAGGGTTCAGTTTTTGATGTCACTGCTATAGTAGTGGGGTGTTTCAATGATACAGTGTTATAACTTTAAGAAAACAAGCTTTGCTGCATTTAATATGCCATTACAGCAGCTCTCTACTTTCACTGCCACTGACCTGGAGTTGTCCCTGCCCACAAGCTGAGTTTTTAAAAAAACCCAACTAAATCTGTGCAGCTGCATAGACTTATGTCATAGTATATTAGCTTTTGAGCCTCAAGTACCAGTGGCCAGTAGTTGCATACTCAAATCCTTCGAGTACCTTTACCAAATCTCCAAAGACATGATGCATCTCTCTAGGAAATGGTTTGGCTTTCTATCATGTGCTACGAGTTTTACAAGGGAAGGGGTTAAAACAAGTAGGACCTGAATACAGAGCCAGTAAAAACACAGAGGATTTGTTATGCTTCGAAATTATTTTTTTTTTCCCTAGAGATGCAATCTTTGATCCAGGAGCAAAATCCACGGTTTGTCAGACATTATAAATTATATCCCAACTGGCAATTATAAAAAAAAAATCGCCTATACAACATTACAAAAACTAAGCTGCCTTGGATAGGGGTCACTGGTCTGTTGATGGGAAACAGAATCCAGTCCCTTCCCACAGTGAGTTGGGCAGTAGCTTTGGTTCCCCACCCACAGAAGAGAAGGTTGGTGGGCAAACAGCAGCCACAGGGCACCAGTGTGAACCCCTCAGTCCTGGGGCTGCCTTAGCCTTCCTGGTGCAGGTTCCTGATGGAGCAGTGTGGGTGGCTCCAGCTACTTGGAGCTGTACTTGTGCACAGCTCCATGACCTGACTGGGCAGTACCAGGGACCTTGGGGACCAGGCCAAACCCTGGAGCCAAGAGCAGCCTGAGGGACCTGTGGGGCTGCCTCTAAAGGAACCGGGAAAATGCCTGCTGATGAGAGAAGGGGACTCCACCATGTGGTGAAAAGGCGGGTGAGGGAAGCATAGATGTCAGCAGCACTTAGCCATGGCCTTTGTGACAATGCTGGGAGATTTGTGTTAATGGGTGAATTCTCTGTCCCCAGAGAGCAGCGTTGTGCCAACAGCCTGTCCCACTCACAGCAGGGCAGGTAGGGGCACGGTGTCACAGGAGGGCTGCCCGGGCATTTTGCACAATCCTGCTGGGGCACTATCAGTTAGATAAGCTGTGTGTCTTATGGTCAGGTCAGTATAACCTGGGCAAAGTCAGCACAGACTGCAACAGCACCAGGTGCTTCCAGGGAATAAGGAAAATTAGTAGTTTTTTTACACATTAATAATAATTGACTTTAAATATATTTTAATACTTTTAAGCACTCATTTCAAAAGGCAAGGCTTTCATGGCATTCAGCTGCTGAGGTGAGAACAAGAGCATTTGTGACGGTTTTGGCTCAGCAAATATATCCATCACCTTGTCCCCTACCCCCTTTCCCTCAAAGGGTTTGTTTGGTTGATAAGAAACTGATAACTCAACAAAATTCACTGTGCCTGTTAATAATTCTTCTATAAAAGCCTCAGATTTTCCCCTGTGGGCTTCAGTCACTTTTATCATGAAGGGACTCATCCTGACCCTGGTGCTCACCCTCGTGGGTAAGTTGAAGCTTTACCAGCACTGCCGAGCTGTGACAGCCACTGTGATGCTGAGCGAACTGCATCTCCTCAGGGGTTTCAGGGATATTTAGAGCTTCATTTGCTGAAGCCCTTTTATGGCTTCAGCTGTAAACTATTAGATTTCTGTGCCTAAGCTCAGCAGTAGGAGAAAAGCCAAGCAAGCAGCAGCTAGTGAGCAGGGCTGGCACAGCCTTGGTGTCTTGGGGGTGTGGGGTGCACCTCATGAGCCCGTTACTGGTTGTTTGCCAACCATTAGCACACTGACTAAATGAATAATACATGAAAAAAAATCTACAGAGATGGGGTTTTTTTCAAGCATACTTCTCTTTCCTCCCTCACAGGGGGCCAGAAGCAGGACCTCGGTAAGTGGCTCCCTCTGCCAGCCAGCAGCTCCCATGCTACCTTCCCCTACAGCCTCGCCTTGCCCACTGCTTGCACCTGTTTATTGGCGGTGACAGTCTCACCTTTCTTTGCTGGGGTGGTTCAAGTAAGATCACAACAGTCATAGCCAAGGAGGTGTTTCTGTTATTTTTTTTCCTAATAGAGCCTGTTTTTCATATGGGCAAGACCTACCTGTATGGGTATGAGAGTGTCATCATGCATGGACTGCCTGACAGAGGCTTGGCGATGGCAGGGGTGAGGCTGACAGGCAAGCTGGAGATCAGCCGCGTGTCTCAGAGCAACCACCTCCTCCAGGTAAATCCCCATGGCTATGGGAACCCACCCACTCGTCCTCATCATATAGTTACAGATGCTCATTTCATACCTCCTGGCTGGCAAAATAATTGACAAAAAGATGATGTAGAGCTCAGACATAAGCTCGGGGCCCTTCCCTCTGCTGAGATACCCCTGTAAGTCCAATGTCAGTCCAAGTGGTTTTGCTCAGGCAGTGACAAGTTCCCAGTTAGGGCAAAGCTGTGGACATGGGCACTGAGCTCTGCACCCTATATAGGCAAGAAGTGATGAGGGAGCGCCGAGGGCACCACTGAGGGCTTTGCAGCTGTATCCAAAATATTTTGGGTTACTGACAGGGACCTACAGCGAGTGCCACAACCTTCCTTACAGCCTGCTCCTCTGCAGGAGGGAGCCAGAGCTGCTCCGGCTCTGCTGCCATCAGTATCTGAGCCCCCTTGATTAAAGGTACCTTAGGTTCACCTCCATGCAAAAATGTGGCAGGCAGCTGCTTTAAAGAAATGTCCTTAAGATAGTTTTAATAAGATGACATTAAGCTTGAATATGAAAACAAGCATTCAAGCATGAAATATCCATGTTCTTCAACCTGGTCCATAGCCTGAGAAAAGCTCAGCACTGGAATTCAGATATCACATGAGAAAGACCCACCTGTCTCCTTTATCTTCCTTTTAATATTTTTCACATAGGCTTTAATTCAAATGTGAAGAATTCTGAGGGTAATGCCATTATGATATCAGATCTGGAAGCTCTGTTACTCATCAAAAAGATTAAACCAAATAGCTTAAAATACTGGCATGGCACGGCACGAAAGATCACAGAAAAGGGTTTGAGAAGACTCCACATGGGGAGAAAGCTGTAAGAGGTGCCCTAACACTCACCCTAGGAGTTTTCTCAGTCTGTAGTCCTGGGCATATACTACAGAAACAGTGTAAAGGAATACCTATTGTCAAACTTTACACAGTGCTGCAATTGCAGGCTCTGTGTAACCTCACTAAAGTTGCTACAACTTTAGCAATTGCAGACAAAATCTTGAGTAGGAATTAATTTGAGAAAATGTGATGAGGCAAGACATCTTTGCAGCATTGATTATATATACCTAAAATAGAACAGAGCAGTAAGACAACACCTTTTTCCCCTGTGCAGGAACATGTACTTTTACGTACAAGGGTGGGAAGTGTGTGTGCGTGTGTGTATGACTAGATGTGTATGTGCATGCAGGCACACACTTCCCACTAGGTAGCAGTCAAGGACTTGTGTGCAAGCTTTACAGCTTGATAAGCTCAAAGGGGTGTCAGCCACTTCCAAAGAATGTGTGAGCTCCTGTACTCACCTCTGCTCCCTCATCAGCTGTGCCACAGCTTTCGTGCTCCGGGGTGTGCTGGACCTGGACCAGCAGCCAGAATAGTTCCTGTGTGTTTAGGCAGGCAATTGGGCAATAAGGGCTTGGCTGCCTTGCAGACTGAAGGGAGATCTCACTTGTCATCTGTGGAAAAGGGGTGAGTATCTTGTCGGTACGGATTGCTGGCAGCTGGTGCTTCACCAGACTTGCTGAAGTTTGGAATCCTGTTCACACGTTATTTTTCTTGCAGAAATCCTTCACGGAAGTTTGCATTTTCAAGGAAACTTCTTAGGCCCAGCACAGGAGTCTGAGGTGGAAACTGTTTCCTATGGCGTTGGACAAGTGGTTTGTGCCCGGTCATGGATTGGAAGTGCCCAGTTTCCCTATTATAGCACTATTTCAAAGGGATGGTTAACAGTATGATTGTTTTCCTATTTTTGTTCACAGATTCGAGAACCAAAGCTGGAGGAACACAATGGCTTCTGGCCCATGGACCCCTTCATTCCATCTTTGAGGCTCTCAGAAACCATTGCTACATGCCTCAGCCAAACCTTTAAGTTTGAATACACTGAAGGAAGGGTTGGAAGTATTTTTGCCCCTGAGGACTGTCCCATTCTGTGCACTAACCTAGTGAGAGGGATTCTGAACATGATGCAGATAACCATCAAAAAGTCACAAAATG